TTGAAGAGGGGCTTAAAAAGACTCCCAATAGTCATTTTCTCATGCAGTATACATAGAGTTATGATTTTAATGCGGCTGACAGGTCTGTGGCTTTATGTGTTTTATTTTTAATGGATGTGGGATGTGTCTGTTTTTGCCTGAGGGCTCAGAGGAAACAATGCTCTGGTGAACAGCTCAGGGCAGTGTGTGTTATGATGGATTTCCTCATGTTACCTTGACTGGGGCTGGGAGATAAATGGAGGACTATAGTTTAGACCAGGTCATGTGCTTAAAATAACCCAAAGTCACAGATATGGGATGATTATGGAATAAATCGAGGCTCATGAAACGAGTACATTTTGCAATAGGATTAGATGCATCCGCTTTGAATGTCATCACTCGATTGAAAGGTTGTTATGAGTGGTTCTCAGCTGATAGATATGGGCCTTTAGGGGCTTTCTGTGTCTACTGGTAGGCTCAGAAGGCTGTTATCATCCATCCACTTGGTTAATCAGCTATACTAATAAAGAAATCTTCAGATCCAGATCTGTGTTTACATTACTGTGATGGTTGGGTTAGGGATAGACTTTAATAAAATACAAATAATTGAAAATTTAATAAGTAATATGAACAATTCTTGTTAACTTCTTGCCACAGCCATATGTGATCTATAGCTGAGTAACCATGTGGATGGATGATAACAAACTTCTGAGCCTACAAGTAGGCGTAGAAGGCCCTAACTGGCCCATTTCTATCAGCCGATAACCACCGTTTCACTCATTTTATCAAGTGTTAGCATTTGAATTGGCTGATTAGACTAGCCTCATTTGAATGCTCTTTACAGTGCAGTGCTGTATTAAAATCACCTTGAATATTGGCAATTGTTTTTTTCAAATGTAGCATTGCTGTGCTTATTATTGCAAATCATTACTGTTTTTTATTCATGTTTTATTTATTTATTTCCAGAACATTTAGCGTCACTATTCCGTGGATCATTCATTCATTTTCTTTTCGGCGTAGTCTCTTTATTAATCAGCGGTCGCCACAGCGAAATAAACTGCTAACTATTCCAAATATTTTACACAGCGGATGAAATTAGTCAGATATTCTGCTTTAAAAATGTGCATTACGTGTCTTTGTTGGTTCAATGGCAGTTTAGCCAATTATATTTTAGCACCCTGTGTTGCCTTGGTGGAAACCGGCGTATTTCATTCAATCATTCAGAAAGGCTTTCAAAGCATGCGCCCGTGACTGAAATGTGACCTCTGATGGACAGTAGCAGACTCCAAAATAAGACTTATTAATTAAGGTTATTAATTAGCAAATAATATAAATATTATGAACGCAAACATTAGGTGAGTATTATGTGTAACTGCGTGTCTTAACAACACTCTACATGACGAGCTTTGCAGTGATAAGCAATTTTTCTGTTTGCACCAGACGGAATATGACAGAAATTTAAATACAGCCATTCAGAAGCACAGAATAGTGCACTATTGAAATGGTAAGGTTCGTAATCTAATTAATACATTATAAACCACTTTAACATTATTAAATGTAGATGCTGAATCACTGATACATGTTGGCTTCAGTTCTGAAGTTCAGTTTCAAATGGTTTGTTTAATTTTTAGGATCTGAGGTGAACTGTCTGCTGCTGCTTTCAGTAGTATGGCAATAAATGTCATGTAAAATGCCATTCAAACTCACATTATTAGCATTTAACGCTGAATAAAGCACATGAGGCAGGGCTTGAAATGAACCTTTTTGCTTGGTAGCTTGGTTTAAATCAGTCTTTAGGCTCAATCTTCAGACTCGCTCCTGTTGTTCCTCAATCTAAAACCTGCGCTTGAGTTTGTTTTGATTGCGTTTGCAATACTTAGTTCAACAACTGGGTGTCAAACTTACATACTGAACTTTTAAAACTACTTAAAAATCTAAACATCAATCTATTAAAAATGAGTTTGTAAAAAAAAAAAAAAAAACTCTTGTCTAGAGACTTGTCTATGCCGATTAACTACTTATCAGTTTTTTATCACATTGCTTCCACTCATCCATCATGCCCCGTATCACTCTTTGATGAAATTGCTGTAATGCTCCTCTGTTTGTTGTCTTTGTGATATTTATACACTGTGGTTAGTCTGAAAGCATGTTTCACAGGAAAGAGCTAAAATGTTAGTGTCTTCAGTGAAAGAAGGAAGGAGTAAAAGTGCTGGGCCTGTAGGTCTTTCTGTGGTTTGTAGACAGAGAGCTGTGGTTTAGGACAGCAGCTTTCACAGGGATGTTGGGAAGCTCTGGAGTTCCTGCCAAACCCGTTCACAATCCAAAGCAGACGAGTGCTTCTCGATTCCTTAGGCGAAACTACTCTGTCCTGAAGAGCCTCTCACTGCACACATCCAGAAAAAAAGACACAGTTGGGTTTAAAGGAACACTACACGTTTTGGAAACAGGCTCATTTTTACTGCTCCTACTAAACAAAGAGTTTTACAATTTTTGAATCCATTCAGCCAATGTCTGGATCTGGCGGGAGCACTTTTTATAGTTTATCATACATTATTGAATTGGATTAGACCAGGGTTAAACTTAACTCAGAGTTAGGAGAGTTTAGCTCCAACCCTAATCAAACACACCATAACAAGCTAATCGAGCACCTACGACAGTAGATATACTAGAATATATACAGTTGAAGTCAGAATTATTAGCCCAAGCAACCCCCCCCCCCCCCCCCCCCCTGTATTTTTAGCTTCCCTGTTTATTTTTTTCCCTAATTTCTGTTTAATGAAGAGAAGATTGTTCCAACACATTTCTAATCATAATAGTTTTAATAATTCATTTCTAATAACTGATTTATTTTATCTTTGCCATGATGACAGTAAATAATATTTGACCAGATATTTTTCAAGACACTTTTATACAGCTCAAAGTGACATTTAAAGGCTTAACTAGGTTAATTAGGTTAACTAGGCAGGTTAGAGTATTTAGGCAAGTTGTTGTGTAACGATAGTTTGTTCTGTAGACTATCGAAAACAAAATTAGCTTAAAGGGGCTAATAATTTTGACCTTAAAATGAGTTTTAAAAAATTAAAAACTGCTTTTATTCTAGTGGAAATAAAAAAAATAAGACTTTCTCCAGAAGAAAAAATATTATCGGACATACTGTTAAAATTTCCTTGCTCTGTTAAACAGCATTTAGGAAGTATTTAAAATTCAAATGGGGGCTAATAATTCTGACTTCAACTGTAGGTATACTTCCAGGCAGGTGTATTAGAGCTAAGGACCTCCGTGACAGAATTTGGGCATCCCTGGTTTAGACCATTAGCATCTCGCTCAAAAAGAAGATTTAGATAATTATTTCATTATACATAATATTACTAATATTATATCACAATAATATTGGTGAAGTTAATAAAAAAACGGAGTAAATATAAATTGACACATTTTTACACAAGTAAATACATACACTCAATGATGGACTAAATATCTGTGGAAATCTGCAGATTCTGTGTGGGCCTTCTGAATATATTTCAGACAAAATAAAAATAATATTTGGATTAAAAAAATTCCCCTATATTAGTAGTTGTAGTATTAGTCATTGTAGTAGTATCGATTGTAGTTGTGATTATTGAAGTAGTAGTTCCTGTAGTAGTTAAAGTCGTTGGTATAGTGGTAGCAGAAGTAGTAAAGGTGTAGTTTTTGCAGTAGTAGTAGTCGTTGTTGGCATAGTAGTATCAGTAGTTGATGTTGTTGATGTAGATGTTGTAGTAGCAGTGATTGCGGTAGTTGTAGTAGTAGTAGTAGTTGTATTAGTTGTAGCAGATGCTAGTATCAGTAGTGGTAGTCATTGTTGTAGTAGTATCAGTATTAGTAGACATTGTAGTAGTCGTGGTTGTGGCTGTAGTAGCAGCAGTAGTAGTAATATAAGTAACTTTCTGTAGTAATAGTTGGTGTAGTACTTGTGATTTATTATTATGGTCAGTTATTATTACTGTTGTCTTTACTTTCTTTTTACCGTCATAATTACTATCATACATTACTTACTCCCTACCTTTGACTGGTTTCTTTCTATCTGTTTTATTTATACCTGTGATACTTGCTTCATTTATTGACTGTTATTGTTCCTTATGTATGTACTCTGACCTGTACACCAAGCTACCTTTACATGCGCACACACATACACGCGCACACGCACCTACCAGTACCTGACTATATTGTTGTTGTTTTTGTTTTGTTTAGTTTTTTTTTGTTGTTGTTGTTGTTGTTGTTTTTTGTCGTTTTGTTTTTTGTTGATGTTTCTTTGTATTTGTATGATCCCAAATTATGTACCTTTTTGCATATTCAAATTTTTTTTTTTTAATCCCCTATATAAATTTTATATACTACTTTTTAACCCTGTTAAAACTGACACATAAACAAATAGTCACAATAATACAATTTATTGGAACGGAGATGTTTATTAATCCTTTAATCAAGACCCATTTTTATACCATATAGATTTTTTTTATAAATGGATTATGCATCATATTGATACTTCAGGCTTTTTGGTAACTTTTTGTGCGTAAATATATTTTAATTTAGTTCCAAAAAAGTGTGCCCATAATATTTTAATAAAATAAAACATTTAATATTTTTTACACTAAACATTTTACAGTCTTTTTAAATTCACTTTGTGAGAGGTGTAATAGCAGCTTCAGTCAGTTGTTCATTCAAAGGCAGACCTTAAACCTCTCACAGTATGCATTTGAGAAGTGATTGCATTTTTTATGTTCTGTCAAGTCATGTCAAGGTGCTATAATCATTTAGCGAGGAAAATGGAATTAAAAAGAAATTTAGGGTGGGACTTAACATGCTTAAAAAAACACTTGCATACCCCTCAGTAAATGTGTAGTTGCGCCCCTGACGCCCTCTGAGGATTTATTTCTAATAAACTGCATGCAAAACATCAATAAAAAGAAACTTGACGTGTCAAATACCCTGATGTGTTGTTGCCAGTGTTTATTTATTAATGCTGTTCCTTTGTCTCCTAGATTCACTGCTACTATCATGGTGAGGTGATGGGTCACCAGGGGTCAGATGTTACCATCAGCACCTGCACAGGACTCAGGTGAGTTATTCACAGGAGAGGATCAGTTCATTAACCTCACTGCTCTACCTTCCCGTGATGCACTGGGCTTGGGGAGTGAAGGAGAAGTGCCCGAATAAAGGACACTTTAATTACGGCGTGTGAAGTTCAGCGTCCTCCCGAGACACTTTACACTTCCTGTTTTAATTAGGGGAAAACTCTTGGGTGGACGCTTAGGTTTGCATTCATTATCCAAGAAGGGACATTCACATAGTTTCGGAAGTGAAAAGTTACTGCGAAGTGTGACGATGTAGGAGAAACACTAACTAAATAGTGAGGAATACATGAATATAAATCAGATACTGCTTGTGCATTTTACTAATTTTACAAAGAAACCATGTTAGTACTTTATTAATTTAATTTTACTTCGTCCCTGTATTCATCAGGGGTTACCACAGCGGAATGAACCGCCAACTATCTAGCATATGTGTTTATGCAGCGGATGCTCTTCCAGTTGCAACCCACTACTAGGAAACATACACTCTCACATTCACACACACACACTCATACACCACAGACCACCGAAGCACTCAGAGGAAACCCATGCCAACACGGGGAGAACATGCAAACTCCCCACAGAAATGCCAACTGACCCAACGGAGGCTTGAACTAGCAACCTTCTTGCTGTAGGGTGACAGTGCTGAGTCACTACGCCGCTCTACTTTCTTAATATCAAACTCAATTTTATTCTTACTTTCTAATTTATTATTAAAGTTAATATTACTTTCACATGCATTCTAGTCCAATTATCTATTTTAAAAATGTAAAGGTAAACTGTAATAAGGCATTCAATAGGAGATTTATATGCTTTTTAGACAGTATAGTTAGTTTTCAGTCAGCTCCACTGTAATGAACAAAAAATACCTGTATAGTGTTGCAGTTCTTCGATTTGTATATGATTTTCTTTTTGCTATCTAAGTGTAAAAAGACTAGTGGCATTATCTAACCCAGTTTTTTAATGTTGATTCACTTTGTTAATAACAGTGTTTTACAGATCAATTGTTATAGTTATTAAAGAGTTATATTAATGATAACTAATGAGCAAAAATTCGATTTTGAAATTGATTGTAAATTTTACAAATAATTACTTTTATTATTATTATTATTATTATTATTATTATTATTATTATTATTATTATTATTATTATTATTATCTTTTAATTTTGTGCTTTTATTTTTGGAATTTATAGAATTGTTTTGCCTTTTTTCTCTCAGATTTCTGAGCTAATATTGTACAATTTAGCATTTTTTCTCTAATAAAAATAATAATAATAATAATAATAATTAATGATAATAATAATAATATAATTATTTTTTTATAATTTAATGTATAATTAAATATTTTAATTATTATTCTTATTCATATTTAAATTTTATTATTGCACAAATGTGTATTATTATATTTTTAATAATAATAATAATTATTATTATTATTAAAAATATATTATTTTATTATTATTATTATTATTATTATTATTATTATAAACTGTAACACATGGAATCAAATGTATTTTTTGCATCTTTTATTTTTGTGCTTATATTTTGGAATTTATAATATTTTTGCCGTCTTTTCCACCTAAATCTGAGCTTATGTTGTAGAAGTAACTGTAACACAATGAAGGCCTTATCATACACCTGGCGCAATAGGGCGCAAGACTTGTTTGCCACAACGTGTTGCTATTCTCAGACCAGCGCAAGCTTAATTTCCTTGTTTTCCACCTCGTTGTTTAAATAGCAAATCCATTTGCGCCGCTTTGTGGACTCATGGTTGTGTTAAGGCGCATTGTTGCCGCGTTGCTACTTTGAGGAACTAACATAGACTATGCAATAGACCAGCTCAAAGCAGGACTAGTGTCAAGCGCAGAGCACGTTAGTTGTGCGCCTCGCTTAAACATTGCTTAAAACACAAAGGATGTACAGCAATACGCAAATATCTTTACAAATGAAAAAGAATTAAAGGATTAAAATATTTCAAAAGTTATTATTTTCTACATAAATATAAAAACCACTGCCTCCATGCCTTCTTCACCTCTTTTTTCAGATTATTTACGACAATTTGCTTTTGTATAATGTTATAATTATAAGTAATATTAATACCATTTATTATATGCATATTTATATTTGTTTTATTAAAAACAAGCTTGGATTTGTCCACCTTATGGTCTTTATAGCTTAGTTTTTTGACTATTGTTAGAAATAGTTTTGAAACAAATCTTTGCGCTTAGCAAACAGAATTAAATATGTAGGCTAGTTGATGTCTACAGTAGAGTGTACAACACTGTTTTCTGATCCACGAAAGAGAGAAAGTGAAAGAAAAGCCAGATTGGAGGAGGCCCATTCTCTCCTTCTCGCCTGTAGATGCTCTGTTTAACTGTTTTCTCGCTAGTGAAGCATTCAGTTTTTACACTTACAGAATCTGCCATGTAAATAGCAAATGTGCCATGGCACGACGCAGCTGACTCTTAAAGGGAATGTGAGATGAGACTCTGATTGGCCTATTCTCAAAACAAACCCAGAACTCATTAAGAGAATAAGCACAACCCTGTTAGACCATGCGGCGTGGCGCAGAGTGGTTTTTCTGTCCTTAAAATAGCAAAAGTGGATTCAGACACGTCCTTAATGCTTTTGTGCCTGCGCTTCAGACTTTGCACCTAGATTGTTAAAATAGAGCCCTGAATCTTTTGATTTTGTTTTTTTATTTTGGAATTTATATAATAAAATTGCCTTTTTTCACATAATTCTAAGCTTGTTTTTTAAAAACATTGCATTTGGTTTACCTAAAAACTATTCGTCTTATTATTATTATTATTATTATTATTAAGTAACTATAATACATTGAATCAAATGCATTTTTTAACCAACTAAATGTAAACAAATAAAGATAAATAAAATAAATGTTTCCTGTTAAAATAATAAAAAATCTGTTTGATATATATATTTTTTTTACAGCCATAAAATCAAATCCACTCCCATTTCACCACTTCAATGTACACTTAAGTTTTTTTTTAAGAATAGTAGAGGATTATGGTTCAATATTAAATATATTTGATTCAACAAGGTGACTTTTATTGACGCTTTAGTAGTTTGAAATAATTTATAAGATTATAAATATATAGAGAAATAAGACTGTAGAATAACATTTCGCGGTCTCCAGAAACATCCGTGGGGCTACGTTTCCAGAATGAGCCTGGGTTGATTTGTTTTGATATACAGTTGTCAGTCTTGTGGCGTTCATCAATTATGCAACGAATTTGATTCAGCTCTAAAGAAGGACGTGGTGAGAAAAGTGATTGTCCTCTAATAGTTTCTGTCAGAGCATCACCGTAATAACGTTATATTAACTGATTGTGCACCACGAGAGATGCATAAATCTGATTTTCCCACCTCGACCGGGGAAGAATGAGAGCGCTTTGGACATGCAGGATTTATGACAGTGATAAAAACAATCAAACACGTGTCAGTCCCCGGAGTCACGCCGCTTATTGTTCAGCTTTGTGTTTCACCTTGACTCAGTGTTTGTGCTGCAGTAACCTGTCTCTCTCTCTCTCTCTCTCTCTCTCTCTCTCTCTCTCTCTCTCTCTCTCTCTCTCTCTCTCTCTCTCTCTGTCTCTCTCTCTCGTTTTCTCTATATTTATATATCTCGCAGTCTCTGTCAGTGAATCCACCTTTTTCTTGTGCTCCATTATGCTTTGCAAGAATTATAACTTGGTAACACTTTACAACAGGGTTGTATGAGTTAATGCATTCACTAACATGAACAAACAATGAGCAATATATTTATTACAATATTTCTTCATGTTATTAATGAAAATACAGTTGTTAGTTTAACTGACGGTGCAATAACTTATGTTAACAAGCATGAATTTTAATTTTTATAAGGCATTAGTAAATGCTGAACTATGATTGATAGATGATGTACAAGTATCGTTCATAACTAGTGCATCTTAGTAAACAGATTACCTAATGAAACCTTATTTTAAAGTATGACATAACATCTATTACACTTTAAACAATCAGTGATTTATCATTATTATTAACGTGTACAATGAGGTGTCATTATTCTCCATACAATTCATCCATTAATTATTAATAAGCAACTTTTTATAATTAACAAATTACTTTCAGAAGACCATTAATAGCACAAAAACTCAAAATGAGTCTTTCTACAGCAATGTTAAATATAACTGTACTGTATAGGGCTGCAAATACTGGCAAAATATGCCATATTTGTAATTAAGAATTATTTATAGTTATTAATGTTGAGTATTGCAATAATTATAATTCTGTATTATTTATTGGCTATAAAAAAACAAATAAAAAAAAACTCTCTGGCCACTTTATTAGGTACACTTTACTAGTACCGAGTTGGACCCCTTTTACATTCAGAACTGCTTTAATCTTTCATGGCAGAGATTCAACAAGGTGCAGGAAATATATTTTTCAGAGATTTCGGTCCATATTAACATGATAGCAACATGCAGTTGCTGCAGATTCGTCGGCGGCACATCCATGATGCCAATATCCCGAAACCAGTCTGGCCATTCTCCTCTGACCTCTGGCATCAACAAGGCATTTGCGCCCACAGAACTGCCGCTCACTGGATATTTTCTCTTTTTTTAGACCATTCTCTGTAAACCCTAGAGATGGTTGTGCATGAAAATCCCAGTAGATCAGCAGTTTCTGAAATACTCAGACCAGCCCGTCTGGCACCAACAACCATGCCACTTTCAAAGTCACTTGAATTCCCTTTCTTCCCCATTTTGATGCTCGGTTTGAACTGTAGCAGGCCGTCTTGACCATGTCTACATGCTGAAATGTATTGGGCTGCTGCCATGTGATTGACTGATTAAAAAATGTACAAGCAGCTGGATAGGTGTACCTAATAAAGTGGCCGGTGAGTGTATAGTTTTTATATATATATATATATATATATATATATATATATATA